CCACAAAGGACACTGTTGTGTCTCACTGTTGGAGATGTGGCAGGAGAAATCCTTGCCCAGCAGCTGTGAAATCAAACCGTCTCTCAGCCCCTTCCAGTGCCGTCTACTTCCATGACTTACGTGCTTGGCCCTGCCTACATGCTATTTGCTCTGACTGTGGAACTGAGCTGAACAGGATTCAGTGTTCTACGTCAGTGCATTTGGGAGCATGAGCATGGGGTAGCAAGGGAAAGATATTGTTGTTTAGGGAACCTCAGTTGGAAAGCAGTGGACCACTTTGGACCAACTCAGTGTCTATGAACTTGCTAGGTTCTGACAGATCCCTACTGCCTTGGGAGAAAGTGTGCTTCCCATCGCTAAAGGTTTTCAGGGAGCGGTTGTACAGCATCTGGTAGGATTGCTGAGAAAGGAAGACAGGCTAGACTAGATGGTCCAGAGGACCCCATTCCAGTGGTGGACCGCCACAGTGCAGCTCTCCAAACTTCAGATAACCAGCTGTAGAATGGACTCCGAAATGCTTAAAGGTAGACTCGAGGAGTCCAGATCTTGATAAAAGGAGGTCGATGTAAGCCCTTCCTTGTCTCCCAGGTGTGAGGAGCACGGTGCAGGTGTGGCAGCATCTGCTGTAGCTCAGGGACTGACTGGGCTTTCTACTTTGGTAAACAGTGACAGTCTCAGAAATCCACAGGTGGCCACTATGGGTCAGCATTGACTTGATGGCAGAGAATTTGGTTTGGTTGGAGGCTTAGGCAGTCCTACCTTGGCCACAGAAGGCAGGCATTTGGGGTAAAGGCAAATAGTGTGTTTTTTCAACCGCCGGGCACTTGAAGAAAGCCCAGTAAAGAAAGGCAACTCAGAAGCTGAATGGAGGGGGAGCAGTGGTAGGGACAGGTGGAGGATCTTGGGAGCAGGCACTCCTCGATCCCAGGAGAAATAAGTATGGCTTTGATGGAAGCTCTGAGTCAGGAGTGCGCGAAGGAATATGGACCAATGTGGACTTACATAGACCAGTTGTTTTTCATTATTACAAATGTTCCACATACTGTCTGGACCTCCATCCCCCCACACCTTCTCAAGGGCTTTGCTCCAGCAATTTTCCTTTCTGTTTCCATTGCCAATTTCTCTCTTACAGCAGAAGCATTTCCATAAGCAAACAAACATACTTCAGCATCTCCTGTCTTGATAAAAATGTACCCAGAAACACACCGTTTTCTCTAGCTATGACCCCAGTCTCCGTCTCTCTTCCGGTTTCTACTTTCACTTCTCTCATTGACTCCTCCACCTGAGACAGTTGTCCCTGACACTTGACCGGAACTGCGCTGGTCAAAGTCAACAGTGACCTCCTCATTGTCACATTCCGTGATTTTGAGTTTAATCTCTTCTAGCTTCATTTTAATCTCTTGGCAATCTTCGAGAGCGCTGACTCTCCTCTCATTGGTGCTGAATCCTCCCAGGACCTGATATTTGTCCTTTTCTTTCTTCTACTCTAATAGCGAATCCTTTTTAGTCTCTTTTCCTGGTGTCTTGTCTACCACTCACTTCTACATATTAGAGTTGTTGAAGGCTTCAGGCCTTCTATGCCACACTCTTTCTCTAGTGGGGCTGCATTGTGCATGCAAATGTGAATGGTAACTTCCAGTCCTCTTGCTTCGGCCTCAGCACTTTCTTCTGAGCTCCGCACTTGCACGCTGAACAGCCAACTCAGCTCCACATGGGGTGTTTCTTCACCACCCCCACCTCCATGTTTACTTTCAAGCTTAACAGAACTATTTCCTCCTCATTGTCTCCTAAAAAAATTATATCCTGCCTCAGCTTCCCTGTTACCGTCCTCTCCACAGCCAGTGGATCAAGCCAGAAATCAGTTGTTGTCTGAATGTCTCTCCTTTTCTGATCCATCAGGAAGTCGAACCCATTCACTTCTTTCTGCTTCCCTTGCCATCATTCCAATTTGAGTAAACGCGCCTGCTCACCTGGCTTCATGTAGCAGGCTTCGAACCGGTCTGTGTGATTCTGTTTGTCTCTATCTTATCCATTCTCCACAAAGCAGCCAATATCATTTAAAATAGCATCTTCCGATTCCTTAGCTCTTTGCCGTGACTCATAAGGCTTTGGATGTTCTTGCTCTTTCTGCGCTTCTCCTCTCCATATGATACCATCCTCGTCTGTGTCCACCTGGGATCCCACCACACTGGTCTCTAGTCTATTCCTCAAACCCACTGACCCCCTTCTCATAAGAGGATCTTTTTATTCATCTTTTGGCTAAGTGTGTGCATCCTTGACTCATTGCATGCCTAGCTCCTTCACTGACCAGCTTAAACCCTCCCTTCTCAGGGATGCCTTTGCTGACTCAAAAATCAAACTCCACTCACTGCCGTGGAGGCCATGCTGACTCACAGCCACCCGCTGTGAGTTTCCAGACTGTAACTGTTTACGGGAGTTGAAAGGCCAATCTTTCTTTCACAGATCTGTTGTTGGGTTTGAACTGCCAACCATGCGGATTGCAGCTTAACTCATAGCCACTATGCTACCAGGGCTCCTGCTCCCACCACCATCCCACCCCCCACATTTATTCTCATGCCACCCTGTTGTTTTCTTTTTATAGCACTTATCACGTACGCTGCTTTTCTTGTTCCTGCGTTTGCGTACTTACTCCCATGATGAGGTGGTTAGTTTATTGTGGCAACCTAGTCGATAAACACACGTGGGGCTAATTGAAGGACGGAGGGATAAATGGCTTGGTGAACCTTGCCTTTCTTGTTCTCGGGTCTCTTGTTTTCTGTGGTCAGACCAGGGTGCAGCTGCCTTAGACATTTCCCTGCTTCAGCTGGCAAGGCTGACTTCCTGCAAGACATCCCTGAGGAGAAGCCACAGGGACCTAACCTGATGCAGCCCTGGGTGCTGGAGCAGCTGTCTGGAGACCCTGTCAGCGCCGAGATGCTTACATTTTCACTGATTCGGTCTTCCTCCTGCAGTCGGCGTCATGGTGTGTGTTTTGTGAAAAGGAGGAGGGCTTTGTGGATTGATGTCAGACATCTGGGTTAACGTTGGACTTGTGGGCTTGGGCAGCACTGGGTAGGGATGTTTTTTTGATGCATACTTAACCTTGATATAAAACTCTCTTATACATGGGTTTCTGTGGATTTGTTTCTCTAAAGTACCCAGACTAACACCCAGGGCTCCCTGTTTTAGGTGCCTATCAACTCTATTTCCAATTCATTTCAACCCCTTGTAACACAGTAACACTGCCTCAGAGGGTCTTCTTGGTTGTCATCTTAATGGAGTGGGATGGACAGGTCTTTGTTTCATGGAGCTGTGGCATGAATTTGAACTGATCCTTTGAGCTAATCCTGTGGGTTAGCTGAGAACGTAGCCTGTGTGTCCTTCAGGGCTAGCTTCATAGCGGTACATTTACTCCCCACTCTTCTGCTTGCAGGGAATAATTTCTCTATACCCCTTGGCTTTTACTCCATTTCTCAGCCCTGTCTTCCCATGTAGGGGCGTGAGTTCACCAGCTGGGGCAGAGGCATTGATCAATGCCTTTGGTCAAGTGGTGCTAAGTAAGGTCACCTTCATCCCTCATTACCTCAACGCAATCAAGGCAATGATCCTGGGCAAGGACTCTGCCTCCTTAAACTTTCCCTAAGACAGGTTCTCCCTGGATTGGGGGGGTGGGGTGGGGGTGGGCTCATCCTACCTAAGATATCTCATTCTCTAACAGATCATGTCCTTCCTCCTGACTCCTTTTAGTCCATAGCAATTGGTATTTAAGTCTAATGAATCAGATGAGCCTTCCTTGAACCAAATGGAGACGTTCTTCAAAGTCCATGCTTATGTAAGCTTGAATTTTTAAAATAAATAAAGTATTGGGAGACTTCCAAGGATCTCTACCAAAGCCATTAAAAGTGGTTGTTACAGGTTGAAGGGTTCACACTCAAAACTCAAACTCCCCGCCAGCTCATGATTCTGATTGGTCGTGACCCTATAGCACAGAGTAGAACCACCCCTGGGGGTTTCCGAGGCTCAATTTTTATGGGAGTGGAAAGCCTCTTCTTTTTAGCACAGGGTGGCTGGTGGTTTCAAACTGCTGACTTTGAGGTTAACAGCCTAACTCATAACCCACCACACTATTGGGACTCTTCCCGAAGGATGCATGGGTGATTTAAACTTTTTTTTTTTTTTCATGGTCATCTTTAGTTTCTAAAGTTTCTACAATGGACATGCATTTCTCTTGTAGTATGGAAAGAAAGGTTGGTTTCCACCTCTCTCTCAACACACACAAATGGAAAACAAACTGAAATCACAGGTTTTAAACATCAAAACTTAGCAGGTTAACTACCCACCCCCAGCAGCGGTTCCTGGTGAGCCACTTCCAGTTCATGATGACTCCGTGTGTCAGTAGAATGGTGCCCCTAGGGTTTTCAAAGGCAGAGTTTTCAGGGGTAGCTGATAGAGTTTGGTAAAGGGCACAGGATGACCACAGGGGATTGTCATGAGGAGGTTTGGGGAAAATTGAAAGTTGCATTGAGGAGAAAAAGGCCAGTCAGATTGTGCTGAAGAGTTCTGTTTTATTTGTTCACCAGCACAGTGTCCCCGCTCATTCTCCAGGGGCTGGACTTGTTGTGTGTGGAGGCACACCTCCAACCTTTGTGCTCCCAGCTAAGCACGGTAACCTTTGGTATTGCCTCCCCGAGAATTTCCCATTCACTCCATGATGATTAAACTCTTGGGAGGTGGAGGTGGGGACTGGGGCGAGGTGGGTGTCCGGGAATACCATATACGCTCATTGGGAAATGAAAGAGTGTGATATCCTGGCCTAATAGTCCCCTAACATAGGTACCTGGAATCTTTACCTTGGCTTTTGTAAAGGGATGGCACTTCCCTCCCCTTTCATTGGCATAACTTCTGGTGGGTGAATTCCTTTGGCATAGCTCCTTTCAGAGTCTGCCTGTCAGGGGAACTTCACTGGGTCTTATTTGTGACCAAGTGGCTTTGCCTTTCAGGCCACCGCAGAGAAGTCTCCTGGTGCTTATTTCCTTCCGGAGTTTGCACTGTCTCCTCAAGGAAGCTTTCTGGAAGATACGACAGGGGAGCAGTTCCTCACTTATCGCTATGATGACCAGGTAAGGAGAAGGTTAAAAAAAAAAAAAAATCTAGCTTTGGGTCTGCCATTTGCTCAAGGGCAAGAAACGCCCGAATACCTCACAGTAACTCTTTTCCCCTTGGTGCAACCGAGTACAGTAGTCCTCGACACTTAGTTTAGAGAAGTCTCAAGACCTCTGGATCGCCGATGCTTGCAGGTAATGTCCTGCCGAATACGGGTGGTTCTTGCTCCAATTGGAGCATTTGCTTCAGAATCAGTTTTTCTTATTTGCACCAGAATTCGTTTTTCACCACCACCAAATTTATTATTCATTTCTTAAAACTCCCAAAGTTCTGTTTTCTGAGTAAGCATTACTTTCTTTACCCCTCTAGATTTTATTTTACCAATATCACCCGTTACTGTTTTATTTCTCCTTGCTAGATCCGCTTTTATTTCCAGAAAGTTGCTAAACGCATGTGTTTACGTCACTTCATGAGGGCTCACGAGAGAATAAGGCCGTACTTGGCCATTCTGAATTCACATCAGTTTATTACAGCACTAAAGCCAAAGCATTTATTTCTTTTATTTTTAAAAAATATGGTAAAATACATGTGAGAGTATGTTGGGACATTTTGCCACAGGATCTCGTAATATAGCCCTTGTGGCACTTGAGGAACGAGCAGGTGCCTGGTGGTGGCGGAGAAACAAACAAAGGCCAACCCTTCAGGACAATTTTGTTGGCCTTTTGCTCTCATTGCTGCAGCTTCAGTTTTCTTAAAACCTCTTTTATGATAAGCCCCTGGGATCTTCCTGTGTCCTTTAAGAAAATCCATCAAGAGATCAATAATGCACAGGTACATACATATCCTGATTTGTTTATCCGTTCATCTGTTGATGGACACTGAGGTGGTTTTACCATCTGATATGTGTACACATGCTAGAGTGAACATTGTACCTGTTTGAGCCCCTGCTTTCGACTCAGTTGTGCACGTCCTCAGGAGTGGAGTTGCTAGGTCCTGTGGCACTCCTGCGTGTAACTTTTTGAGCATCCACTATTTTCCACAGTGGGTGCACCATTTGACAAGCCCACCAGCAGTGGATGAGGCTTCCAGTGTCTCTGTATCTTTGCTAACACTCATCAGTTCCTGAGTTTTTGACACTATTCAGTCTCTTGGGTATGAAGGGACATTTCATTGGCTTTTGAAGTCACTCACATTTCGTTGAAACAGAGTGACAAATTTTCCAAATGCAGCATTTTCTGTTAGATAAAACCTGAATTCATGGGCCAATGGATCAACAGTGGATGGATGTGAGATACTGTAGGATCACAATGGATTCTGGCAACTAGCGGAAGGCTGAGAACTGGACTGAATTAGCTTCTTGGGACCCATAATGGGGCAGACGGAGGTGACCCAGCGATTGAGGTCAGCTATACTCTCCTCATGCAATCAAATGCTAGCAAGTTGTGGGCTTGCTTTAGGCAGGACCTATTTAGAACTCAGGTGGCACTGCAGGTTAGGCATGTGATTGGGCTGCTAACTACAAGAAGGAGGAAGGATGAGGCTGTCTATTTCTGTAAAGATCTACATTCTCAGAAACCATGTGTAGGGTCATTATGAGTTGATATTGATGCACTGGCATGGGTTTTTATAACGCAGAGGAACAGCTCTGGGAAATTCATTCTGTCAACATAGGGTCGATCTCCACGTGGCTACAGAGGGTGGAGTCAGGCCCTGGATGGGGCTGGAACTATCCCAGATAGTAGCGTGTGAGGAAGATGAAAGTCTTGAGCAGTATAACTGAGCTCAGGGAAGACTGGAGCATAAAAGATGGGTGAGAAGTCTGCTGCCCACGTCACAGGCAGGCACCTCTGGAGTTTGGTCCTTACTAAGGCTAGCCCTGAAGCTGGGGCTGCAATGAGGGCAGGAGTTAATGGATTAGCAGACAGAGTTAGAGGGCTATAGAGGTCATCATGTAGTAAGAGTAGGGTGAGAAAAATGGAAGTATTTTTTTCAAATTACCTGAAAAGTTAGCCACACAACAGCTATTATGGGGATTGGGGAGGGAGTAGGGGTAACCTGGCATCTACATTATGGAATTAATTTTGAAAGATGTTAGGGCCTGGCTGCTAATGGAATCCCTATATGATGTAAACGGTTGCCACCCTTGGCTGCTAACCACAGAGGTTAGTGGTTCAAGCTCACCCAGAGGCATCTTACAAGAAAGGCCTAGTGATCTGCTCCCAAAAAATCAGCCACTAAAAACCTTCCGAGCACAGTTCTAGCCCGACACACATGGGCTTGCCCTGAGTAGCAAATGACTCTCTGGCAAGTGACCTATGGGTGGTTTTTGTTGTTGTTTTTGGTAATAGAGATGAAAACACCATGAAATCACCTTAGGATTTTCTCTATAGGGGATTTTTGGAGGGTTTACAAGGTATGGCTCTTTTTAATATAGAAATCGGTCATCCAGTAGGTGTTCATGCAAAGTTCAAAAAAAGTTTCAGAAAGTTCAAAAAGAACTTCAGTAAAACAAATCGAGAGGACAGCATAGAATAAAAGAGGGAGTTCAGAAAATCCGAGCTCTATATTTTATAATTAATGGGTGGCTTATGCCTCCTCTGGGTTATGTTGCTACCTTGAATTTGGTATAATAAAGACAAAAATCTGGAAAAAGAGGAAAACAAGCTGCTCTAGTCTTTATAAAAGGCTTGAAACATCTTAAAAGTGTGTGGCATGCTGTGGAAATTTTGTCCTAGGACATGGTGTTCTGGAAAGGTCCAGAGTGAACAGGATATGAAAACATGCTGTGTTGCCCCCATTGTGTGTTTCTTTTAAGGGAGAGGAAAGGTAAAAATATAACAAGCCAATAATAGCTCCTGCCTTGCGCTGCTAAAGGCAAAGAAAATGGGTCCCTTGACCAAACTAGGCGTAGGGGCCCATGGTGGACCTCAGGGATTCAATCAGCCGTTAGCCCATCACCCAGCCCTTGCTTGGACGTTCTTTAAATCCTGACACTGCAGACGACATGGTCGTGTCAGGAAGCTTCTCAGGCAATGGGGAGAAGATGGAACTGAGCAAATAGTAGCTCACTTAAAAATCCCCGTGTGCTGCTGTGTAGAATAACCTTTTAAATTTGATTAAGGATCAGACTGCTTTGAGTTCCAGCCCCAGCTCTGCCACTTGATTTGCTGTGTGACTTTGCACAAGTGTCTTTCCTTCTCTGTGTCTGTTTCCTCATCTGTGAAATGGAGATATGAATAGCAACTTCCTCACAGAGGTCTTTTGAAGGTTAAAGGAGATGATTCCTGTAACCTTTCCTGAATAGGGCCCGGTGCATTACAAGAGTCAATTGAGTTACTTTTATTACTAATAATTGAACTCCCTGAGTAATGCAGACAGTTAACATGCTCTGCTGCTAATCAAATGGTCCCAAGCCCACCCGGAAGAAAGGTCTGGGGAGACACTTCTGAGACATCAGCCGCTGAAAGTCCCGTGAGACACAGTTTCACTCTGGCTTGGAGTCAACTTGAAAGCAACAGGTTGCTTGATTATTACTAATTATATTATTTTTTAAAGACTCAATTTAGAGAATCTCATATATGCTTACGCTAAAGGAAGCAGCATATCTCTGTTTATACTAGGGGACCCACAGAAATATTAAATTTTTTTATTGAGGCATAACATTCAGTGCAGTGCACACATATGTGAAGCATAGAACTTGAGGCATTCGAAAGATATATTTGCTTCTGCATGATCACCATGCATGCAGCTCATGAACTAGAGCAATCCCACCATCCTAGAAGGTCCCTCTTGCCCCTTTACAGTCAATATCCCCTACCTTACTAGTCACCTCTTTTCTGATTTTTGTCTCTGTAAATGAGTGTTGCCGATTCATTTTAAATTCTGTTGGAATTGAATCATACAGCATGCATCATCTGTGTCTGACTCCTTTCACACATCATTATGTCTGGTTTCAAACCGCTGCCCTTGCAGTAGTAGCCCAGTGGGTAACCGACTATGTCAGTTGACTTGATGGTGGTGAGTTTGGAATTTGGGGCCTATAAAATGATAAACAGAAAAAAGATTGAAGCTGCCAAGAGTTTTATTTCACTGGGATTCGTAATCAACACCCATGGAAGCAACAGCCAAGAAATCAAACACTTATTACTTTGGACAAATCTGCTGCAAAATAAAAACCTCTTGTAAAAAGCAAATGAGCCTGATGCAAGCCATGGTATTTCCATGACCTCATGATGCATGTGAACCTTGGACCATGAATAAGGAAGACTGAAGGAGACTAGATGCATTTGAATCGTAGCAAAGATTTTCGAACAGGCCATCAATTTCCAGAAGAACAAAACCGTCTGTCGGGGAAGAAGTACAGCTAGAAGCAAGGATGATAGACTTTGTCTCGCGTGTTTGGACACGGTATCAGGAAGGACCCATCCCCAACGAAGAGCACCATTCTTGATTGAAACAAGAAGAGGATGCCTCTAAATAAGATGGAACAGTGTAGTGGTCACCACCACGTGTTCAAGCTTGGCAAGAACTGTGCTCCTGGCACGGGACCGGTCAGTGTTTCATTCCCTGGACCACAGGGTTGCTATGAGTCGGTACTGACCCGGTGTCCCCTAACGTTACCCTGGAAAATAGTCATTTGATCAAATGGAAAGCAACCGCAGGGGGCAGAGATATTGCCACTTTTGGACAACTCCTGTGGGACTTTTGAAGTCTTTTATCCTGGTCTGATTTTCATGGTGACCTTCAGACTGTCTCCTGGATTAGGTGTCTGGAAAATGAAGAACCGGGAGACCAGTAAAGCACAGCTGTGAGGTAGGCTGCTTTTAATGAGACCCATAAGAGGCATATTACGGATTATATGGGGACCTCAGCAGCTTCTCGTGAAGGAACCCGCTCTGAATCTACTGGGTAACGTGTGCCTTGGTGTCAGTAGGACTCACCGGGCGACCTGAGTCTTCCTTCTGCCGTTAATGATCTTGTGGCACAGTCACTCCGCTTCTTTGGGGGGGCAGATTCT